GGTGTGCAGCCCACTTCCCAAAACCCTTACCTATTTTAATATGACCAAAATCTGCGTTTTTTGCTACCCTATTTTCATTTCGACCTGACCAAAAATTCGATAGCTTATTTATGACCGTTGCGGCTGACACAGTTGCCCTAAACATAAGTTATGAAAGGCTTTTGTTGACGGTCTTATTGATAATGATCAGAAAGTAGCTTCTTCTAAGAAACATAGCCAACTCAACATCAGAGTAGTAAAACCATACCCAATTTATAACCATATAGACCATATAAGGGAGTACCCCGGGGTGCTGGGGGCTAAAGTATTTACTTCGGCCGCCATGTTTCATGTACAGAAGCTGTTCACCAACAAGGCGGACATGTTTTGCCTAGTCCTCGCGCAACACCATCAAGGACTAGCGATTCTCTGGCCACAATGTTTTCAAGCTATTACCGTCATTCGATTTATCTTGCAATATCTTCAACTCCAGTTAATTTAAAATAACATTTTCCGAATACTCAGAATTCACTGGCTAGGCAACTTTAGTCGTATCGCACTGGCCTAAGAAGCTAATCGGCTTTTATATCGAAAACTACAGCCCATGGACTTACTAATATTGTGAGGCTAACTATTGTCAAAGACTTATATAATCTTCTATCTAGTAGGTGATTTTACACCACTTGGTGTGATCCTGTACGATATCACTGCTTCGTTTGTTCTTTAATTTTGCTAGATGCCGCCTACTAAAAGTACATAAGAGGACAAACAACAATACCTACTCTTATAACTGGAACACTGCGGTCTTCCAAAACGGAATACATGACAAAAACCTACCTGTACTACCACGAAATGATTGAATTTTTGGACGCTGAAGCAAATAGATGAAGTTGTTTCTCAGCTCCTGGGCCGATACGACTGAACAGGAACAGGTTGTTTTAAACAGTCATTTAGTTCTTGAGTTATTCAGGAAAGCAAACACGCCCTCAGGCATGATGCATCTGACTCGTTAGCTGCTAAATGCACAATATCAAGTGTATTATCAATCCAGCTAAGAACAGTGAATTGAATAAAATGACAGCAGTCTACTTTCTGTCCCAATTTATTTTATTTCCATCTAACGATGTGGTCGTGTAATCTTGTTCGTGGCTTACATGTGATCTTGTTTGTGTAATGGCACATTCCTTGAAGTGTATTTCTTCAGGTGTAACATTACACAAAAATTTTGACAGCGTGCCGCTTGCTACGTCAAGTGTGTAAGTCATGGATTACCATACTAGGCATCTAGATCGGAAGACCGCGAAACCCAACATTTTCTTGGCATGTGACTACAAGTAAGTATCGAGACTACAGCTCTAGCCTGCAATGCAGGTGCCACAAGGCCATAGTCTTTTGGAACGACCATGTTCTTTGGTCTCTATCTCTAATTACCACACCTTAGGAAGTGTTTTTAAAAGCAATCTCTATTGTTAGCAAGATAAAAGCAGTAGACGATAAGATAAACAAGATTTTATTACAGCAGGAATTAATTTTCGTACCATTTGTTTTCGACAACAATGAGTCAAATTCAATGCATCCTGTTATCTAGAACTTTGGAACTTTACACAAGAAAATTAACTGAGCGATCTCAATGTTGTTACAGTCCGAGAATATCCAACAATTTTGAAACTTATTCATTTTGACTTCTATACCAACAAAATACTGTATCAGTTGCTTTTCATAGTCAGGAACTGCAATTTCCTGTTGTTAAGCAATGATCAATGAAAGGACTGAGGCTCTGCGTTTTCGTCAGACGCAACAGATTGTCGAGCCAACTCATAAACGCTATGGCTAGATTCATTATTGCTAGCCGAATCCTGATTGTTTTTATCCCCGACGACAGACTTCAACCAAATGCTTATGATCACAACCAAAGCACTCTGAATAGCGCTTGAGATCAAGCTTTCGTCAAAAAACTGCTGACCGATTAAAAAGAATGAAAACTGCACTAACAAGACTGACATTCCTGCGGCAACTACCAGTGCAAAGTTAATTGCGTTCTTCTTCTCCCACCCCTCGATTCCGAAAAAAAGAAAAGACAACACGTAAAATAAAAATGCCAGCATCACTATAGTTGTTACGATTGGCAAAGCCCAGAACGGCTCTGTGATTATGCCAATCATTACCCACAAGGTGTGATGTAATGCGATAAAACAACCTGGAAATGCAGTGCAAAGAAAACAAGATACTGGCTCTTCCTGTTCAGGCTCTGTGTTCCTGTTCTCCCCAGTTTCCCCAGAAATTGCACCGTCGTTACGACCTCTCAGAGGACTCAGAGAGTAACGAAAGCGACGTAAACAAAGCAAAAAAATGAAAAAGAGGTAAGTCAAAGGATAAATTACTTGCCGGCCTTGGATGCTGTAAGCTGCAGCAAAAACAGCTACAACTGTGCCCAACCAAAACAAAACAAATACGAAAAGTAGAACTGATTTAACCTTAATTTTCAATTGTTTATCCTTGTAGCGTTCCTTACATTCTGTTATAAATAAATTACTGATGCAGTAACTTCCTATTAAAGAGGAACACAAGATAAGCCAGCATATTTGAGGAAATGCTTTGATGACGTTCCTGAAGTTGTGTTTAGAGCTTGCCTCTACAACACATTCAACATTGTTTAGTGAAGGATTAAAGTTGGATGGGTCGATGGCAATATCCTCAAGCTGTTAAGAGAAAGGGACATTTAAAATGTTAAACAAATAAAAATAGGATGTGTGGGTGCAAACTGCGGTGACCAAAAGTTTTGTATATTGAACAAAGTTTCTTTGTTCAATGTACAATTTGCATGGTCAAGCCGTGTCATACGACGTGTTTTCTATGGCGCAAATTGCTTTAAACACTTCAATTTGAACTAATTCGAGAGGAATAGAACATGCTCTATCTTCCTTGAGTTTTAGATAAAAGATTATCTCATTCGTTTTGAAATGAGTAGGCAAAGGTAAATCTTTCACATTGTAAACCACGCAGCATTAACCAACGATAACATTCTCTGGTAAAGTGTGCAACTGAATACTGGATCCTTACCGTCGACAAAAATTGGAGTAGCTTTCTCGTCTTCTCGTGTGGATTGCAAAATTCATTGATTGTTATGTGGAGGTCTTCCTGCCTTCGGTGAGGCCATATGGTCGCCAACGAATATAGGCTCATGGCTTGGAGGCTCAAGTAGCGATCACTCACATACAAGCATGATCGACTCCAAATAAATTTCAGCTGTTCTACTTCAGTGAGATTGACAGTGGAGTTAATCAAATGTACCCAGATGTTTATAAGTTTAGATGATGAGTCCTCAGAGGGGTAGATAGCATTCGAGATGTTGAAGTAATTATCAAGAGGTGGCTTTGTAGATGTCAGTGCATCATGAATTTGGTAGTCGTATTTAAGACAGCTCTTCTCGATCCTTGGCTCGTCCGGGCTTTTTGTTGCGTTTACCGCGTTCAAAGGCGATACGGATGTTGTCGTCTGAAATTTGACCAATAGTAAAAGCAGAAGAGGGTACCGTTTGATAAACCGTCTACAGTTCATGATAAAATCGTACCTTTCATCTCATTTTAGGAGTTAGCATAAAGTAACAATCTTTGAGTTTTGCCTCATATACATGTTACGTAGCTCGAGGCTGTTACACAATTATTGTTTTGCTATATAAAGGCTGGCAGCTAGCTATTGTTGCATATCTTCACCAAGGCAACGATACAAGCGGTTAGGAGTTCAGGAGGGGGTGCTTCCAGAAAAGTTGGGTGGGCGTGTACAACCCTCTTCACAAAATCCTTGCCCTATTTAAGACCAAGATCTGCGACTTTCCCTTCACCATTTATGACCTGATCAAAAATTATAAATTCGACTCACCTTTTAAGACCTGACCATTAAATCAATACACTATTTCAGTCCTGCCCTGTAATTAGTTTTCTAGTTCAGACCGATGTTAAATACATTGTGAAGGGCTTTTGTTGATGGTCTTATCGATAATGATGAAAAAGTAGTAGACCAAAAAAGCCAATTTCTGGCCAAAATGGCTAAAAACCATACCCTCTGGGGTCGCACACTCCGCATACCCATATAGCCCGTGTAAGAGAGTTCTCCCCCGGTAAGTAATAGCCCACGAGCAGTTAGCTAATGACCCGTAGCTAGTGAAGAAACGTATTTTTAATTCAAAAACGGTCTTTATTATATGGCTAGCTCCGTGAGCGGGCAAGATGAATCAAATCCTGCGCTGTGATTGGCAACCCGAGCGGGCAAGATGGAGCTATCTTACCCGCTCGGGACTACCCGCCGTGTCCCGCAAGAAAAATTTCCCCGAAAGCCATATAATAAATCCTTTATTGACCAAACTTGTTCGGCCAAGATGGCTGGATATTGGCCTCGTTTTTTTTTTGCGTGTTTACGGATCTCGACTCCATATCGGTCCGTAAACACGCAAACAAAGAACTTGGCCAATATCCAGCCATCTTGACCTCGTACTTGGTCAATAACCCATATGTATTACCATAATCTAAAGTTGCGGTTAGGTAAACGAAAACATGTTATTTAAACATGTCGCTCACTTAAATGGTTACATGCCGGCACTGCATTCCATGCATTCTTTTAGCTTTCCTGTCATCTTTCATTGCAGAGAATTACCTGTATATATATATATATATATATATATATATATATATATATATATATATATATATATATATATGCATCAAACGCCATGTCAATAAGGCATACTCTAAGATGTTCTACACAAGCGCGCAAACGAACCGAAATATCAAGAGATCAAGGATCAAAGATTTATACGAGAACGCTAAAATCATTTATTAGCGCTTGATTAAACAATATTGTTAATATATGATAGAACCAAACAAAAGGAAGGCTGTGTATGAGGCAGAGAATTTAAAATGAGCTCCGCGAGTTCACTTCAGTTCAATCCGTCTTCGTGTCGTTGGGCACATAAGGCCATTATCAGAGATCACCACTGCTGCCTGTCTTTCGCTTTCCTCTTTTACTTTCTCCAGATTACTCCATCTGCCCGCATCTCTAAAGTTCAAATAACCTTTTAGTGATTATCAAGGTGTAAAAAGTTCGCTTTGACCTTACTCAGTAAAGTCATTATATAAGCTTTGGCATTGTTTTACGCAGTAATTATGGGAAGTCGAGTTCCTCACGAGGATAACTAGGTTCCGTTATAAAACATATATGTTTTTGTAAACTTCTGATCTTGACGGGTGTGGTGGCCGCTGGCATCATAGAAAAACTAATGAGTTTGCTTTCGAAAGAATGAAGTTGGTAACACGGTTGACATTACCTTTAATTTCTTGTCTTACTCTTTGTTTCATAACTATGCTCTAGGTATGCGTGACTAGCGTCAGAGTTCCATTATCAATGATGTTTGTTAATTGGTATAATTGCACATATTAATAATACCGGAAAGTTGTTTTTGAAATATATGTCGCCATGTTGTCTCACAAGAACAATGACCCCCATTAATATGGCGCGTTTTCAGGGTCAAAATTAAAAACTAACTTTTCCACCTTTCCTTACCTGCTAAGTAAAATGTCTGTCATTTCCTGTCTAGACAATTAGACAGTACGCATCTCTTTTGACNCGCTCACTTAAATGGTTACATGCCGGCGCTGCATTCCATGCATTCTTTTAGCTTTCCTGTCATCTTTCATCGCAGAGAATTACCTGTATATATGCATCAAACGCCATGTCAATAAGACATACCCTAAGATGTTCTACACAAACGCGGAAACGAACCGAAATATCAAAAGATCAAGGATCAAAGATTGATACGAGAACGCTAAAATCATTAATTAGCGCTTGATTAAACAGTATTGTTAATATATGATAGAACCAAACAAAAGGAAGGCTGTGTATGAGGCAGAGGATTTAAAATGAGCTCTGAGAGTTCATTTCAGTTCAATCCGTCTTCGTGCCGTTGGGCACATAAGGCCATTATCAGAGATCGCCAATGCTGCCTGTCTTTCGCTTTCCTCTTTTGCTTTCTCCAGATTACTCCATCTGCCCGCATCCCTAAAGCTCAAGTAGCGTTTTAGTGATTATCAAGGCGTAAAAAGTTCGCGTTGACCTTACTCAGTAAAGTCATTATATAAGCTATGGCATTGTTTTATGTAGTAATTATGGAAAGTCGAGTTCCCCACGAAGATATCTAGATTTCGTTATAAAACGTATATCTTTTTGCCAACTTCTGATCTTGACGGGTGAGGTCTCTGGCTTAAATAGAAAAACTAATGAGTTTGGTTTCGGAAATATAAAGTTTGAAACAGGGTTGACATCACCTTTCTTATCTTGCTCTTAGTTACATAACTATGTTCTGGGTATGCGTGACTAGCGTCAGAGTTCCATTATCAATGTTGTTTGTTAATTATTATAATTTCTCATATTAATAGTAACGGAAAGTTGTTTTTGAAATATATGTCGCCATGTTGTCTCACAAGAACAATGACGCCCATTAACATGTCGTTACTAATTTCCAAAAGAATCACTGACACTTCAGCGTAGAAAATTCCGGCAGCGAGAAAGAAACACGGTGGGACCAAAATTTACGTCGTCTAAGGTCTCTAACACTTTTACCGTGGACAGCTGGCAAAGACTAGCTCATTGGCTAGCATCAGGAAGCAGTTCTGTAGCCCGCGAAAAATTCATCGTGGAGGAAAAATTATCGGCTGAAAGAATATTAGCCTGTGTCGCAGACGGAAATTTTCTCGCTACAGGTTGCATCGGCGACGCAGGCGAAAAAAATATAGGATCGAGTGCAGCGAGGTCTGTACGGAAATTCTACCTTATTTTCCTTGGACAGTATGGTTCCCGAGCAGACTTGGTTAATAAGAATAGAAAGAAAAAAGAAATTGCTACATGACTTGGTGTTTGAAACTCGCGTGCTGCAGAAAATATTATTAAGTGAAATTCTTAAAAAATCCAATAAGCCGTTCTGGTTGGTTGTCTAAGCTGTCGTGTAGTAAAAAGAATGAGCACTTATCTAATGGTGTTATTAGTCGAGTTAACTACGCAGAAAGGCGACTTAGAAGAACAAATGGAAACAGGGGTAGTTTGTCCCGTATGCGTTACACCAAAGAATGAATCGAGATCAAGTCAAAAACTAAAACTGGAACCATAGTTAACTAGCTACTAACTATGCTGGAACTACACTAAGATTTGACTAAAACTACATCGTCAGACATAATTGATAACGAGATGCGGAAAATTCTCAAGTGTCTTGTTTTGCTCTTGTTTTGTTCGTGTCTAGCGGTCGATACTAATTGTTCTTATGAGATGGCTATAATGATCTGTTCCTGATCATTCACTGGCAAGACGATTCAACAAATGACTCTGAGATGGTTTCTAATTTATTAACATGCAANATAAGCCGTTCTGGTTGGTTGTCTAACCTGTCGTGTAGCAAAAAGAATGAGCACTTATCTAATGGTGTTATTAGTCGGGTTAACTACGCAGAAAGGCGACTTAGAAGAACAAATGGAAACAGGGGTAGTTTGTCCCGTATGCGTTACCCCAAAGAATGAATGGAGATCAAGTCAAAAACTAAAACTGGAACTACACTAAGATTTGACTAAAAATACATCGTCAGACATAATTGATAACGAGATGTGTCTTGTTTTGCTCTTGTTTTGTTCGCGTCTAGCGGTCGATACTAATTGTTCTTATGAGATGGCTATAATGATCTGTTCCTGATCATTCACTGGCAAGACGATTCAACAAATGACTCTGAGATGGTTTCTAATTTATTAACATGCAAAGTGACAAGATATCATAAATATGGCACTGACTTACGATCTGAAAAACGCATAAGCATAATAATCAGATCAGATCATTTCCTGTGAAAGAGCGTGTGCTAAAAGCTCACCCCCGCCCCCCCGCCCCCAAAGAAGATGGTATTTCGTGTTAGACTACGAGTAGTCCCTCTTTCGCTTAGTCCGTCGTGCGTGACGCGAAAGAAATTCGCGAGAAAAAAATGGCCGCGCGAAATTCTGGGGGCTAGGAGCGCGCGAAAGGAGGGACTNTTGGGGTCTAGAAATTAAAAACTGCTTGTAGGCGCAAAAAGCGAATCGAAAATGTGTTCATCTGAGACGGAGTGATAATTACGCTGGAAACACAACATCCGGGACTTGCACTCTATAATTTCCAGAAGTGCATCTATACTGAAAGAAATAATACACCCTCAGCTCCAATAGCGGGTATACACCAGTTATATTCCCCTTAACAATTAAATTATGAGCTCGATATTTCTATGAGGTGAAAGTTGATGAGGCAGAAGCGAGCAAATAATCATAATTGCTAAAACAGAATTCTAATTGAAATTGACTTCAACTAGCAAGTAAGGCCCGGTTCATACGTCGCATTTCTGCCGTGTTGAATTCAATTCAACGAATTAAGTGCGGCAGAAATTCGACGTATGAATCAGCAGTGGCATTTCTGCCGCACTTAATTGAATTGAATTCGATACGGCAGAAAAGCAACGTATGAACCGGGCCTAACAAATATTTTACCACAATTGCTACTAATCTCGCAATCTGATTGGCCAATTTGCCGTTGTCGATAAGAGTCCAGACAACGCTACTCGCTTCAATACGTCACGCGATGCCTTTTTCAGCTCGCGCTTTGCAACTGAAAAAAAAAAAAAACATTTTCTTTGGCGTTGATATTGTGGTAAAAAAGCAAATCGAATGTGGTTATAATTAAGCGTTGTCTGTACTCTTATCGACAACGATACGCGTCATCACAGTGGCCAAGATTTGTTGTGGACTCGGTTGGCTGCTCCTCGTGAGTCCACAACATTATGACCACTGTGATGACGCGTACTCGTTGTCGAAAGGCAACGCTAAACCACATTCGATTTGTCAAATTTCGCTCGGTTTGAAATTGCAGTTGTGTGTGCGCGCGCATCCTTTTTTTCCAATAGTCTCAAGTTTTTTAAGGTCAAGAAACAGTAAATGTCCTATTTTTATTAAGCCATCTCTTAAATTTAATGAGCCATTTGAATCAAAATTTTCCCCAAAAACTTAATAAATGGCCGGAGAACTGGTCACTTGGTCATTCCTGCTACCTTTTTCTCGTTTTCGGCTAGCCTGCGGGAGCGTCCAGTTTTTCCAAAAGCCGAAAACCTGGATGTTCTCGCGGGCTAGTTTCCGGCACGTGTTTGCTTTGGGCTATTTTCTAATAAAAAGTGGAAAGTAGAGAATTATTTCTAGAGTAATTCAGAGTGCTGGAAATCAACCCAAGAATTTCCTTCCAACATTATTCGTAGAAAAGAATTCGAAAAGAAAAGAATGAGGTGTAGAGAAAAATTGGAAGTGGGTCGATTTCCATTTAGCTGAAGTGGGTTGATTTCCAGCGCTCCAAATTACTTTAGTGTTGATTCTCTCCTTTCTAACTTTTCAAAATGGCGGCTGCTTTAATTTCCTGATGACGTAGTACCTGTAGGCCGTTCCCGTGTTACTTTCACGGTGCCTCTGTGTAAAAACAAGTTTTCGTGCGACTTGTGCGAAACCATTCATTTGAAAATATTTTTTTACCTGAAGGTTCAATTTAATACACGTCACTTTCATCTTCATAAGAAAGGTTTTGGACGAGAACTCGTTTTGAAACGGGGCTTTTCGGACATAGCTTATTACTACAAGTAAAAACGTCAGCTAGCACATGATATCAAACCTGATGATGTTAGTTACCGATTAGTGTTGCTGTGACAGGTGATACTGAAAATAAATTATACTTTCTGCTCTTTTTTTTTACCCAACATTGATATGTTTTTTGACGGGGAATATCATGTACATGCTGGCTGTGGCTGATACAAGAGTTTTAAGGCGAGACACATTCAGTCTGGACACCGCCGAAAGCTTACTGTATATGATGCTTTCCCCATCCCCCTTTCTGCTGTTAATGTGGTCTATGGGAATTCAGGTAGCAACTGCTTGAAAACAATGTTTACAGTAAATAAGTTGAGTCCCAACAACTGCCTTCTGTTGTCGAAGAAAAAAACCATGAACAAGGATTTAACNAGCTTATTACTACAAGTAAAAACGTCAGCTAGCACATGATATCAAACCTGATGATGTTAGTTACCGATTAATGTTGCTGTGACAGGTAATACTGAAAATAAATTATACTTTCTGCTCCTTTTTTTTATACCCAACGTTGATACTTTTTTGACGGGGAATATCATGTACATGCTGGCTGTGGCTGATACAAGAGTTTTAAAGCGAGACGCATTCAGTCTGGACACCGCCGGAAGCTTACTGTATATAATGCTTTCCCCATCCCCCTTTCTGCTGCTAATGTGGTCTATGGGAATTCAGGTAGCAATTGCTTGAAAACAATGTTTACAGTAAATAAGTTGAGTCCCAACAACTGCCTTTTATCGTCGAAGAAAAAAACAAACATGAACAAGGGTTTAATTAAAATTAGAAATGAATGCTATCAGTCTAGTTTGAAAGGAAAACTACAGTAAAATTGTCAACCTCTCTTAACATTACTCAGAAACAGATGTAAATGTATGTGTTCTGCTTTAATTTTAGTCATCGTTTAATTTTTGTGTAGCCAGTTCTAAGTATTATTTTTTGCTTCAATCATGTTCATTTACTTAACAGTTTTCAAACAAGAAAAACAAGAAAAAAGTAATTCAGTTTGGTTAAAAAATTATGTCAATCAAAAATGAATTTATTTTAAACTTCAACATGTAGTTACATGTTCCTTTTTATTTCAAGATTGCGTTTAGCACATGAACGTGTCTTTTCGAAATTTTAGAAGCCTGCATTATACAGTTGAAGAACTTCAGCATGTTGCTGGTCTGTTACATGACTTACAGGTTGTCAAAGGAAAATTCAAAGTTACTCAAGCAACTCACGGTAAGCCTCAAGGGCACTCAAATATATGTCTCTGCCAAAGCTGCCAGATTCAGCCGCTGGATAACCTAGCTGTCTGAATTCTTCGAACAATTCTTCTGGGAAAGGATTCATGATGTCTTCAGCTTCAACAGATCCATGTTCCTCCAAAGGAGATGCCCTCTGGGTCAGTGCCATACCATTCTATCAAAATTAGATCCTCTTGTAAACTCATCAAGGGCAACATTGATTCGTGGAAGGAACACTTGATGTAGTAAAGACATCTGCAGAAGGTTACTGTCGCTCAAGTAACTACTCTTTTCCAAAGAGTAATAAACGGCATAAAATAAAAAAGAAACACAATGGAATACTTCTCTCCACAGACGCTCAATCCTTTGATTTCTCGTAGATGGCCCTACAACAAAACTGCCTCTTCCTTCGTCCCTTTCTCGAACCATAAATCTTGCAACCTCTACGTTTTCACTCCCACGATCACCTCTTACGCGGGACGGCCCATCAAACTGTCATACTACCCTCTGAAAGGTTGACATGACTGTATCTGCTCGATTGTTGGTTAAACATCTTAAAAATGTAATCATCATGATTAAAAAAGCCGTCGACACAGCCATGGACTACAAATCCCCATCGTATTAGACTATGATGCCCATCTATGTGCCATAACGAGTTGGGCCAAGGCACACTGCACACCCTCCTTGTTACTACTGTTTCCCATCGAAGAGCACTGTTTTCAGGGTCAACCCTATTGATTGCCGCACGGACGCGTTCACGCTGTACGAGATGGCCCAGAGATCGAATATACCCCGTAACAAATGCGACTGTTCAGTTGTCGTGCCATGTCGAGATATAAACCCGCGAATAACCTCGTCGAGTTGATCATCGCTTATGTTTGACCACCAGCTGAAGCCCAACCCATACTCTTCCACTCTACGATAGATAGTCCATCTTGATACTCGTAGCATCTGCGCAATCTGTCATTTATCGAATGAAAACACTTTTAGCGAGTTAAAATATGTCATTTATTGAATTAAAATATTTTTAGCGAATAAAAATGTCATTTGTCGAGTGAAAATATTTTTAGCGAATAAAAATGCCATTTATCGAATGAAAATATTTTAAGCCAATCTGATAAAAATACGTCATTTATCGAATGAAAATATTTTTGGCGAATAAAAATATGTCATTTATCGCATGAAAATATTTTCGTCAAATTTTGCTACTTTTCGGCAACCATATGCTTGAATCCCGACAATCTCACTGGAATATAAATCCTTTATGTATTTCATTGACCCTTCATTTCGCTATAACGCGAAACTTTGCTCAGTGAAAGTCAGTACAATTTACTGCCCTAAAAACATCACAACTCTTTGCAAACTAATTAAAGATTAGCAAAAGTTTACCTCGCTTGCAGCTACCAAAATCTGCGCGGTAATTCAAAAGCAAGATGATAAAGATGTCCGTCCTAAAATATCTGCGAAATTGGTAGAAGTAAATTAAAAAAAAAAAAAAACTCCCTCGCTCAGACTTGCCGTGCTACAGTGCACCGACACATGAAGACCGCAGGTGCTTTCCGTTATGCTAAAGATTCTGGAAATTTCGGTCGGAAGACAAATGAAAAGTTCATTCCGACTGAAATATTTCGGATCACCTCTGGAGGTGGTCCACTTATTTCGGTCAAACCGGTCCGACTGAAATTTGCCGTTCCATTGTTGACAAACTGGTTCATTGTCCTACTTCTCTTCACTCATGTAGAGAATTCGGAAAGGGAATTAAAAATGGTAAGGGCCATTCCTCTTATTTGGCCCGGTTTGATCGGAAAATCTCGTTCCATTTTCCTCGGGTATTCCCACTGGTCTCTGACCGGTCGGTTTGGCATCAGTGAAAGCACCCCGCTTGATATAAATACCAAATTAGGGCGTTATGACCGGTTTTTTTTATTTTTTTATTATTATTTTAAATCTTTTGGCGGGATTCTTTCGGGGCTCGCAAAAAGAGACTCGCGGCTCGCGGCTCGCGGCTCGCGGCTCGCGGCTCGCGGCTCGCGGCTCGCGGCTCGCGGCTCGCGGCTCGAGGCTCGAGGCTCGGGCTCGCAGACTCGCAAAATAGTCTCCCCCGCTGTAGGAAAAGAAAGAAACGCAAGAAGACCGAAAGGGGCCATGCCCTTGTGGATGGGTCAAAAAAATTGGAGAAGATTGAAACGAATTGTATTTGAGTAGACTTGGAATTTGTTCGAGTTTATGTCACTTTGTATGAAATTGTTGCTAAAAACGCTTGGAAATCTCCTCCCCTGCTTGCCGCCGAGATCTTGAAAAGGGGTGGCAGTTCGAGCCCTGTCCCTTTTCAAGTAGACATTACGTGACATTTACACAACAAACACTACATGGACTGATCGCGGGCAGCAAAGATCAGTTTCAAAATGGCGGCGGCGGCGACCGCTGTGAAGAGAAAACCAGACTCAAATGTTCCACCAGAAGAAAGTGACTTGCTGAGGATAACTCCGCTGTAAGTTATCGAATTCATACCCTGGGGAGATTTTTGGTTTTCTTTTGATGCTTGTGAGTTGCAAATCGTACTGAGTGCGGACACGTGCGCACCACAGTACCGACCGTCGACAACAGGTCACAACATGCTTGAATGAATCCTATTTGGGGACAGTTCACAAGTGTATTTGGGGACAGTTCACAAGTGTAATAAAATTTTAAATGTGTGTTAGGCATGTCTTACATCCACAATTAAACGATGAATTTAAGCTTACTTTTGGACTCGTACATACTTTGACAGTTTACATGTAAAACCTAAGCTTATATCAACCAACAGTACCTGCTGTTAAGTCCTGGCCAAACGGAGTCGGAAGTAGACGCAAGTTCTCAACTTACGTCTAGTTGCGACTTCGTTTGGCCAGGCCTTGCGTGCACTTGCGTTAACTTGCAATGACTTGCGCTCACTTTGGTTGAGATCAAATCTGCATGCAAGTTGACGCAAGTTTTTCACCATTTGGCCACCCAACCCAAGTCAACGCAAGTTGAGTGATGTCCATTAACCTGTTATCAGCCGATGAAATACAGGATGTCTGCCTTAAAATGGGTTTTTGTCAACTTGTGTGTACTTGAGAGGAAACTTGCGAGTCCATTTGGCCACCCAACGCAAGTCTCTACGCAAGTTCAACTTGCGGCTACTTGCAACCACTTACGAGTCCGTTTGACCAGGGCTTTAAACTTTACAAAGTAAGGATGTGAGTGAAATTTTGGGAGACAGTTGACTATTAGGAATTTTGCATAATATAAGTTTATACTTAGCTGTTTTGTACTCTCAGGGGAGCTGGGCAAGAAGTTGGCCGATCATGTCACATCCTGGAATTCAAAGGAAAGAAAGTGATGGTATGCACATTGTTATTTTCTAAAGATACAGTAATGTGATCAAGTCTCCTGGAGATACCAACCTGAAAAAATCGCAAACCTGAAGACCGGCAGTTTTACCTTCTTGACCTCGAGAGTAGAGCTGTGCTAATTTAACCACAAAAATGCATCAAATATTCCAAAATTTCCCCAAAAATGCCAAAAAGAAGTGTGAAAAATATACTTGATGGGCTTTCCTTCATACTCCAGAAATTTGGTGACTTGTATGGGAGACCAGGAGATTCGGTCTGTACCTGGGAGACTCCCAGATTAATTAACGGAGAGATTCAGTATACATGTAGATGCACATATGATACATGTATATGTAGGTCTCTATAAGGCTACATAACTATGCAATGCCTCAATATATGTTTAATGCTGAGGGTTAATTGTTTGGTTTATTTCTTTTTGCTATTTTTTCTCCTTTTCATTTCCTTTGTTAGCTGGATTGTGGCATTCATCCTGGAATGTCTGGAATGGAGTCGTTACCTTTCCTTGATGAAATAGACACAGCAGAAATTGACCTACTCCTGGTTAGCCAGTAAGTAAATCATTTATTGCATGCTGCATGGGTTGCTATAAGTTTTGTGGTTATGTTTACACTGGCAGGAAGATTCATGAATTTATGTGATTGTAAAGCTGGTTTCAATGTTTGCTGGCGGACAATGCCGCTACCAATGACTAAGTTATTGAAGGCACAAAAATTGGTGAACTGCTCTCCGTCCTCACTCATGCAACGCAACCCAGTCACCCCACTGTTTTAAACCATTGAGGTGCAGCTTTTACTCATCATAGTGATCATTTCTCATTACCACTTAAGCAAGACTTTTGCTACTGTTGTGTGTAAAATGCAATTACCCTCAAATTGGACTTGTAATGCCTGAAAATAAATATACATGTACATGTAATAACACTGTACAGTAAATGACTCCCTCAAGGGAAACAACATTTTTCAGAGCATTCAAATGATACAATCACAAGAACAATTTTTGTGTCTCAAGGTAGTACATTTATACATGTACAGTGTAAGTATTTGAAGGCAATCAGAAAGAACAATGTTGCATGAAATTTAGAAACCTGAATTGTTGTATCAGCTTTCACAGCACAAAAATATCTCATACAATGTTAATGCGGTAACATATATATTTCCCTGGTTGCAGGATTAAGCGATTTAACACCTAGTACATGTACTGACCACATACAGTGAGGACAACAGAGAGCTCTGTCTCTTGGAGAAACTCAAGATAAATTTCTGTTTTCATGTATTCACTCAGGAATAAGTTCCAACTGTTGGCTATCGTGTTAATTGTTGTTTCTTTTCAGCTTTCACTTGGATCACTGTGGGTCCCTTCCATGGTTTCTAGAAAAGGTACATCTAGAGCCTAGACATACTGAAATACTACATATAGAATAGTAAATGCATGTATTTCATGATTCAATGAATGCACTAATTTTGTAGGACACCAAATTGCCTTACATGTATGCGCATCAGAGAATTAGACACTGAAAGTCATGTTTTGCCTTGTTGCCAATGGCTACATGTACACTTTCCACGCCTTATTCTGATATCCCTCCTCAAGTAGGGGAAGAAATGAACCCCTAAAAGAAGCCTCTGCTTTGTTAGATTGAGGTTAAAGATATCTAAACAAGGTCAAGGTCTGCATAATTTTTAGACAGTGTATGCAGTATGATGAGACCATCAATCAACATGTGCTATCTTCCAATTAAGTTACATGCACCTGTTTTTCAAATCTTACAGTGTAATATATACTGTCCTACAAGCCCAAAGGCCTACAAATGAAAAGTAAAGAAATGGAAGTTTATTTTGTTCCTTTTGTTGTTTCTTTGTCTTTTTCAGACTACCTTTAAAGGACGGGTGTTCATGACACATGCAACAAAAGCAATCTACAGGTATGTATATACAACAGAAAGAATGTACATGAAATAATTTGATATGCTCTACACAGTTTTTAATCTGACTGTTTACCATCTCCTGATAGCAGACATGATCATGTTGCTCCAGAAAGACCCTGATTACTTAGATATCCTGCCTACTTTTGACCATAATTTTATGGTCATTACTATTATGTAGTTAATAGAAGGAAATTAAATGAGTTATGAAGTTTGACAAAACTGCTGGTTCTTTGTTTTGGTTCGCTTCTTTTGACCTTGACAATTCACAACAGCCTGACTGATAGTTTTTTACTTAGCTTCTGTCAGAGTAACTTTACGTTATAATTTATTATGGGAATGTTTTAGTTACATAATCCATGCATTATATAATAGTGTTTGAGGTCGAAACTTAGATTGTGCATGGTCATGGACCTTTCAACATGAATCTGGGCTTCTCTGAAGTTTCTCAGGCCTCATAACCATTTACTAGTTATTGCAGTTGCCTATGATCAGTTTGACAAATTCTGCTTTGTGTTGACCCACATCTCCTGTGTACCTCTTTAAACAGAATCTTGAATATTTGACTGCTGACTCAACTGCCATAACAGCTATTAGACTCAATATTTTTCTTCTGTTTACATTCCAGATGGTTGCTTTCAGATTATGTCAAAGTTAGGTAGGCACACTTACATGTAATAAATGTCAATATGAAAGTTTATAGAGACCCATTTTTTTTCACTCTGTCAATGTTCAGTTCTTAAAATCTTATGGCCCACACAGGACATTTGTACCATTGCTGCTCCTAACAAACAGTGAGGATGAATATATCAGCTATGAACCTAGTAAACTGCTGCCTAGCTTACCAAAAGTATTTCCTTAGTCTATTGGTTAGAGAGCCTGACTAGTATCTGGCAGGTCTTGGGTTTGAATCCTACTGGGGACTGCTGACAAATATTTTCTTTGTCCCACACTTGCAGCATGCTGGACATTTCATCTTTCACAATTAGGATAGTTTTTAAATAAAAATTCATTACAAGTGTTTTGGTTCAAAAGGCTGGGGCAGGTACCGTAATATTCAAGAAAGGGTTCTTGAGCAAGAAATAATGATGCAGTACATGTGCAATTTAATAACTTCCAAGTAATAGTATAGTGGAACCTATTTTTGTTATTTCCTTCTTTCAGTAATATTGCAACAGAGGACATGCTGTACACAGAGTCAGATCTAGAAAAAAGCATGGATAAGATTGAAACAATTCATTTTCACCAGGTATGTATGTGTATGTTCATGTACAGTGTGCATTTCATTAACTTATAATAATTAAAAGTTACTATCTGCCATTTTGAACTCCCACTATTTCAAACTATTTTTGCTTCCCCACAGAGTTCAGAATAGTGGCATTCAACTGCACATGTAATCGTGATTAGACTTTTTAGGTTTTTTTGCAAGACAATGAGGATTGAATCAAGGCCTCAGTCTGTGTGACAATGTATCTTCGTCATCCTTTGACTTTGGCAGAGAACACAAACCTGACCTTTGATAATTTCTGCTATCGCGCTTAGCCTCTTCTAGTTATTGTTAACTGAAGAGCAATCTTTGTTCTTGCAGGAGAAAGAGGTGAATGGAATCAAGTTCTGGTGTTACCATGCTGGTCATGTTCTTGGGGCAGCCATGTTTATGATTGAAATTGCTGGCGTAAAGGTAATATGGCTATGATTTTCAACAGCAGCTTTCTACTGCCCTCTGTGATAACCTCACTTTCAAACCAATAAATGTATATGTATATGGACTGATACAATTGAATTAGCACAGGTCCACCCATGTACGTGTATTACATATTACTGTATATTATAAATTAAGAAAGGGCTCTTATATGATTATTCGTTTTTTCTTCTCTGTGATCGAGGGGTTTCATTAAGGGCCAGACGCCAGGCAAAATGACTGTCTGTGAGGACAATTTTGCCCACCTGGTTTGACCATCTAGAGGAAATTTTTTCTTAAGTTAGAAGTTCACTTCAAAATTTTTTGCCTGCCTGTGAAAATCAGCTGCCCTCCTGTTGAAAATGTTAATGAATCCCCTGGTGATCACATTTATTTCTCATATATACATGTACAACTGTACGTGTACTGTATTAACTTTGCAGAATTTAGACTTACTGTACAATTAAACACTCAATAATACCTTGTTAGTCTTGTTTAGAGGGATCAGATGGTCTGCAAATGCATGCTTGACGTTTACAGGTCCTTCACTTAATTAGACACAAATCTCCTCACCTTTATCTTTAATATGTATGTGCATCATTAACTTTCATTTATTGTTTATTGGTTAGATTCTATACACGGGTGATTTTTCTCGTCAAGAAGATCGTCATTTGATGGCAGCAGAGATTCCAAGCATTTCACCTGATGTTCTCATCATTGTAGGTTTAAATCCCTTTGAATCTTAATATCAAGAGGAAACTAGGTTTCCATACATTTCCAGAAGAATAATTTTGTTATCTTATTAAATCATTCACAGTACATTGTATACCTTTATATTGTGGCTGTGTACAGCAGTTCATTGTTTTTCAGTTTCGTAAGTGTTGATGGTGGAGTAAAAAAGACTAAATACAGTATTATAATTTCTCCTTTGAAAAATCCAGGAATCAACTTATGGAACTCACATTCATGAGAAACGTGAGGACAGAGAGAACAGATTTACAAGTAAGTTAGTACCTGAGGGCAAAAACAAAATACTTACTTGTAACTAAATAATTACATAGGATCCAAAAAATGTTCATTGTTAATTTTTTGTCATTTATCAGTGGCAATTTATGCACCAAAGTAATGCCATGCATAACATAAATTTGACAAGTCTGCCAATGTGGATCCACCACATTGGAATTCACAATTTTTGAAAAAAATGTCAGAATGTCCATTTTAATTGTCTTGCAAAAACCTTGAAGATTTTGGAATAGCGATCTAAATTATAAAGAAAAGTAAAACATGATAGTAAATGAAAGTTAAGTAAGCTTGAAAAGCCACAAAATATCTGTAAAACACTCTTTGAAAAAACATGGTTGGCATTGAAGTGTCTTGAAAGTCACTTGACTAAAAAAATCAACCATATTCGTATTCCCGGTATTGACATGGAACTAGCTTGTAATGGAGGCTCATGTGTGGAAATATCATTAAAAAGAGACTAATGTCATTTGCATTTGATGAGACCCCCTGCTTTAGCCTCATTTAACCTCAAGCTAGTTCCAGTTCAATATTTGACAATATGAATATGGTCTAGGGAAAATTGTGGGAAAAGAAATGAGGTTTGTCTCTTATTGCTTAAATGCACATAACATTGGAATCAGCATTGGGCACTTTGTGTTCCTTCTGTTCGTGTGTGGTTCCAGAACATTATGTTACACCCACCCCATGGAAGATCATTGGAAATTCTGAGGAAGTTGGGGGTGGGGCTACATCCCTACATGTAATCTATTCATCAAAAACACCTCTCATGGGAGAAGTATTGATATTTTCTGGAAAAACGTGATGCACATTGGGTTATTGCAGATGATGTGCTTTAGCTTACAGTACATTGCTTGACTGTGTGTCTGTCTGTCTAGGTACTGTTCATGACATAGTTAATCGTGGTGGCCGATGCCTGATTCCTGTGTTTGCTCTTGGAAGAGCTCAGGAGTTGCTTCTTATTCTGGGTATGCTCATTTGCCGTGCATATTGATGTTGAACCTTGTATGTGTGTGCATTCAAGCAATTACCTAAATTCTAATGCTTTTAGATGAGTATTGGCAAAATCATCCTGAGCTTCATGATGTCCCAATCTACTACGCCTCACAGCTAGCCAAGAAATGCATGTCAGGTAAGATTGTGCAAGTATGAACATGGTTTATTCAAGTCTAAATTTGCTGAATCTTCAGCAGGTGTATAATTATTTAATTTAATTTTAATACGTCAACAGTGGTAAATGTTTTGATTTCCAGCTGAGTATGAATTACCATTAGACACAAGGTCAATTTGTTTTGTTACAGTATTATTTTTATACTCAGCTTAAATATTCTTTTAATTCTACAGTGTTCCAGACTTATGTAAATGCAATGAATGAGAAAATTAAAAAACAGGTGAGGTCTGCCTGAAGTGATTAATTTGTGAGACATATGTAATGCAATGAAGAAGTAATGTAAAATTTTACAATATCATATTTTACTACTGAAATTACCTTAAATTAACTTTATTAGTTACATAATTAATTTCTTTGTTTTTTTTCTCTTAATTCGTAGATTGCCATTTCCAACCCATTTGTGTTTAAACACATATCAAATCTCAAGGTAAGTAACATCGCATTTTTGCCTTAATTTACATTTTTGTGATAATATTGGAGAGAGGATAACAAGGAGTGTAGCCTTGCAATCGCTCTTGTCCAATACAGTCACCTCCCGTCACGGAGGAAGTGGGAATGGGAGACGGAGAAGGATTTGGAAGGGAGGCACAGGTGTACACAGTTGGAGGAAAAGGGATCATGTGGAAGAAGATCTTGAGGTGAAAACCAAGACAGGCAAACTGTTGTTTTGTGGTTTTCAAATGGGCATGACATCACTTGATGAGAATATTGGTGAATTTGTGTGTTCAGGGAAAATTAACGTTTTAAAATAAAATTTATACAAAAGGTACTTGTGCATCAGAATGTGATATTAATGTTTAAGGCAAGGGTTTCATGTCAACATTTCAACTTATTTTCTTCTTATTTTCCTCTCGATAATATTATGGAGTCAAGTTGGCCTTAAACCATCTTAGTTTCCTGCTGCTTGTTTTTGTTGTTGAATCATATCTGACATCCTAATGTGTGTAATGACCATGCCAAATGCGTGCAACAATCAAAAGAATTGTTTCCTTTTTTTAATAACAGGGCATTGACCAATTTGATGACATTGGTCCATCAGTTGTGATGGCGAGTCCAGGAATGATGCAGGTTTGTGGTGCTAATATTGGTACATTTAGTTTATTTTATTTAATATTTCATTTCAACTCTCTGAATCTGACTGGTTTTTTCATCATTAGTATACCTTACCCACTTCGATCTGGTGATACGCTATTTTATTATATAAACAAGAGTGTTTTACTCGAAAACACACCATGCGTAAAATTCATACAAAACCACCTCCGGGACTTGAGTGGCTTATTTTCTATATCCTCACCAGTGAAGATAACGATGATTTCACTGATACCACCTTTGTCTCTTAAATTGTACTTAAATATATTGATGTATAATCAAAATATCTTCGGGTCTTCCTCGAGAGTCTTTGGCAATCTTCGGTAATCTTCGGAAATTTTTGGAAAATGTTTGGCAACCTTTGTGTGACCTTTTGACATGTTTTGGCAAATCTTTGGAAATCTTCGGAATGTGGTCAGAAATCTTTGGAAAATCGTCAAAAATGCTGTCATCAGTATGTCTATAGAACATTACATGTTACCTCAAAGATATGCATTTTGTGTTCGAGTGGCAAGAACAATATCTTACTTGTTCGCTGCACTCACTCGTGAGATGTTGTTCTTGCCACTCGAACATAAAATTCATATCTTCTTGCCACCATGTAATATCCTCTATATATCCAACAAACCATCACATAATTTTGTGGGTTTTTGTAACTTCATAAGTTCGTCAATTTCTGTTTATTGGTTTCATTGAAATGTGCAGTGAACACTGCATCCAAAATTTACCGCATTTACAAACGTTTGTATGGCTATGTTGGTGGTGGTAATGCTGCTACCCCCGCCCCCTGCAAATTTGACGGTTCTCGGGGGACATAGATTATCTCTGTTTCAGTATTGCTTGCTGCGATCACTACGTTTCACAGTCTGTCAATTTAAGATGCATTTTAGTTGAATTGTGGTAGCTGGAGTGGCTTACCAAGTAGTGAGTGATGTTTTTAGCTTTGTAAATTAATTTAGTAAGAAGTTTTTTGGCTAGTATTTTATGGTTTTTTTGTTGTTGTTGTTGTTGTTGTTGTTGTTGTTGTTTTTCTGTACAAAAAGAGCGGTTTGTCCCGTGAACTCTTTGAGCAGTGGTGTACAGATCGCAGGAACGGTGTTATCATTGCTGGTTACTGTGTAGAAGGAACACTCGCCAAGGTAAATTCTTGCTCTCTGTTTTTACATTGTTCCTGGGGAAAGTGTGTTACAATAGACCGTATTTTGATCTTTTTCATGCAAGTACTAGTCAAAAACATTTTTTAATAAAGTGCTGCATGGCAATCTGGTGTTGGCATTACCGACATCACCCCGGTAGGGTAGCAATACTTTAATTTGTATCGCTGAGTTGCTATGGAAACCAGCATAAGTTCCAGCCGCATGGGTCAGTTTGGTCAGTGCATAGTTAATTGAGGGAAATGGTTATGAAACCTGGCAAAGTTCTTTGTTGTGTGTTTTTGTTGGCTATTTTGGGGGTTGACCCTGTAGAAAACCTGGCGAAATACAAAAAGTAGTTATGTGTGCTCATGCAACTAACCAATAGGAACATTGCGATTATGTAATCCATGCATAATCTATGAGCATGAAACAAAACATGTGCATGGTCAAGGACTTTCCAACATACAGTTTTGCTTGTTTGGTTGCTTCTTTGATGTTTACCCGCCTTCCTAACCATTTCCCTCTTTTAAGTTCTATGGTCAGAGTTGCGAATCTACCATTTTAAACATTTTGTAATGTTTTGGCAACCATTTAAAGATGGCAAGGTTAGACTGCTTGGCATGCACATATACTATGTAAATATAATTACCGTTGCTTATAAT